ATTAAGAGTGTTTATTTTACAATCTTATAATTTCTTTTGCTTCTTCTAGAGTCTTCCAGGTGCAGGGTAGCCTTTTGTACCTGCTTTTACTAGCATGCGCCTGTTGGCACTTGGCTTTAATGTAAATATATCATATAAAATCATTATATGATAATCTAATTACAACATATATATATTTAATTTTTTTAATAAATTTTATATAATTTCTGTTTCTATATGTTTTTATTTTCCAAATGAATATAAAATAAAATTAAATAGTTAGAATTATTTTGAATTTTATTTTACTAATTATTATTTTAATTTTTTATATTATTTTAATATCAAAATGAGTATTTATTTTATTATTTTATAATTTAATATATATCATACAAAATTATTATATTTTAATTATACTTTTATAATATGATAGAACTAAAATTATCAAAATATACAAATAATTTAACCAAAATTAATATATATATATATATAAGTATTCAAGTAACAATTTTATAAAATGATAGTGCTAATATTATCAAAATAAATAATTAAAATCATATTTTAATTTTGATTTTAAATTAAAATTAAAATTATTTTTTAATAACACACGTTGTGTCATTAAATATATATTTTTAAATAATAATAATACGTGCCACTAATTATCAATAAAAACAAAACCCTAATTTTCTTTGTAGCTACTCAGTCACTGTTTGAAGTCTTTTTCCCTCTTAGCCACAACCACCTCCAGCATCCGCTCTAGCCACCCTTGGCCTTTTCACCTTTTTCAATCCCTCCTCAACTCCCCTCCAGCCCCTAGCCACTCCTTGCCTCTGGCCTCTCTAGTCTCTACTTTCTGCTCTTGACTCTCTTTCTCTCCTCATATCTCTCTCTTTCTCCCTATTGATGGTAAGGGGAGGTGTGGTTAGGGTTTAGTGTTTGAGAGGGAAGGGTCTTGGCGCGGGTGTCCCAGTTCAAAATTTAAACAATTAAATATTAAATTAAAATTAAATTTTAATCAATATTTCATCATTCAAATTTTAAAGGTGAAACAAAAATCTAGATGTTCTCGTTTTCAAAAAGTTTATGTAAATTTTAATATTCAAAAAAAATATAAGGGACAAAAAAAATTAGACGGGATAAGATTAGAATTAATTGAGGTGTTCAACGAAACCGAACAATATTGAAATTTGAGAACTCGTTGTCTTAAGACTTGTTCTGGGAAGATCGTAAAAAATGACTTTTTGGTTTTTAACCAAGCTTTTGATTTTTTTAGACAAATGATTTGGAAAGTTGGTAAAAAGTTATTTTTGACTTTTTTGATTAATATTTGTTTATAATGTCAAATCACAATAAAATAAATAAACTACCCCCATTAATTTTAAATATTTATAACTTCACACATGTAACACATTTTGCTCCATAAGGGATATAATTGTAATTTCATCAGTAGCTAAAAATCAACTTCCCAAATGATAAAAAATGTAAAAAAGTCAACCTTTGACTTTTGCTACAAACAAAAAAAAAATGACTAAAAACCAACTTTCCAAAATAGCCCTAAGAGACGAGGCGTCTAACAATTTTTTTTTTGGGTGCAATTAAACTTTCCAGAGCTGGCAACCTCAAGCACTATAATAGCCCCCAAGATCAAGTGAATTAATGAACACCCGATGATCTCGGGGAAACTGGAACAAAGACTTGACTACGGAAAATGAAAAATGGGATGCCAAAGTCTTTTGCTTCTTCTAGAGTCTTCCAGGTGCAGGGTAGCCTTTTGTACCTGCTTTTACTAGCATGCGCCTGTTGGCACTTGGCACACCTTAACACAATAGGAAGAGAATGATTATAAGATTTTTGTTAGCCAGGTGGGGCTTTGGCACAAAATATATAATGTTAGGTTCTTATGGCCACCATGTTGGTATATTCCTTGGGTGGTGTTTGGAAATTGGATATGTCTCAAGATTTAAATTAATTAAATCTGTCTGGTATAATTTTTTGTAAATTAAAAATTGATATTAAAAAATAAAAGTTAAAAGTAATTCTTCCGAGCTTCTTAATAATCAATTTCTTTTATACTTTATTTAAATTATTATTATTTCATAAGCTGTAAATAAAATTTATATCAAACACTTACAAATTCTTAAAAAAAAATAATTTAAAAATTACACCAAACATGACCATTATTCAAAAATCATTATTCTTTTGTGGTTGGAAGGGGAAGTAGGGTTCGAAAGGCAACAATTTGTTGTACAATGGGGTTGGCCACCAACAATCAATATGCTGGGGGTGAACATGTAAAAACTAGCTAGCCCCAAATCTTGTTTCCATTGTAGACAAAAGTTTCCCTTAATAAAAGTAGAGACAAAATATGATTTTCATAAATATCTGAAAATCATCAAAACTAAATAAAAAAAGAAAAGAAAATTTGAAATAGCCCTCTTCAAATTTGATTATGACCTAATGTAATTATGATTAACGACTCATTCAACTTTTAAATTCAATGGTTGAGTAATGTAATGAGGTGGATGGACATTGAACCATGGCCTTCAATTCTACAAAATTTTGATCTCTCTCTCTAAACTCAGGGCATCTCTCTCTAATTCTACAAAAAGACACAACCATAATATTATTGGAAGCTTATTCTTCCAACCCTTTTCGGCACTGTCGCCATCACACCGTCACCAGATCTGTCACTTTCCCTCTTCTATGGATCCACCTCACTAGATCTATCTCATCTCCTTTAGATTTGCATATGGCCACTGATGTTGGCGTTGCCTCTCTCTTTTTCTGATCTTTCGAATATAATGTTTGGCTTGCATCCAAACTTTTACCCTCGTGCCCAGAACTTTAAAATCTAGTTTTCGATTTTTGACAATCCAAAGACCGATACTGTTTAACGCATTTATTTCACGTTAGGTGACCACCTCAATCTCAATGTTCCATCTTAATCAGCAAAGGTGAGGTCTTCAAATTTTAAGTTAAAGGTTGTAGTGTGGTGGAGTTTTAGATGAGTTTGGCAACTTGGGTTTGGTTGCTTTTGGTTTGTTTTTATTTTTATTTTTTATTTTTTATTATTTGTTGTAATAATCCTCCATGCGTGAAGGTTATGCCCCTCATTTGTGAGGATTCTTTCTCCTCCCCTGTGGAGGTTAGGATTCTTCCTCCTATGGAAGTTTTTTTTTATTTAATCTTTTTATGAGATCTTTTGCTACTATTGTACGAGATTGATTCAATTTTTTATCAGTTATGCAATGAAAATTTTCTTCTCAATCTAAAAAAAAATAATTCAATGGTTGAAATCAGGTACATACAATTGAATTTTTCCAACATTAACACAAAATAAATCTAGAATATGGTTTATGAAAATGTTGACATGACATAAAAAACTTATCACACACTAAAAACTAGTGCAAAGCACAATTTAAAGGTTGAATCAAACTAATACTTGAATATTAACTAGTGAGTCATTCCATTGTCATTGGTGCATGACCTCAAACCATTTTGATGAATAGCTGAATGCTTATGATAATGTTTTTAATCTATGGATAGAGAGAGAATGTAATAGTAATAGTATATAGGGTAACATGAAAGCCAGTCCAATGGTTTGTTTAGTATAAAATTCTAAAAGAGTTAACATTTACATAAATTTATTTGCAAATAGAATCAACTTTGATTTTGAATTAAACTAAAGGTGTTTAAAGGATTAATGTTAATGAGCGACCAGCATCATTCAGATTGACTCGGTTGAGTCATACACCAAAACCAATTCCTGATCACTTGCCGTTCCATCAAATTTAGAACTAAATTAATCTATGAAAATTTTGGAACCAATATGAACCAAACCTCTACACCACTGTTCGGTTCAATTTGGAATCACAAATTTTAAAAATATTATCATTATTCATAATAAGATCATAAAATATTATTCACAGCATAATAATTATTTACATAATTGTTTAAAACTAGTTCTGTCACTATACAAAAATATACTTGTAACAATAGAGAGTTGTAATATATATATATATTTGATACTAATAAAATATTTTAGTATTTACATTCAATAACAAATTATATATATAATCTAAATGGTCCGGTTTGGTTCTAATTGAATTTATAGCTATAAAACTACGAACAGAATCGTGAAGTACGATTCGCCTATTTTAAAAATCAGAACTGAATCGTGTATTATAAAACCAAACCAAAATTATGTAGTTTGGTTTGAACCGGACTAATTCACGATTTTTTCGATTTTTATACTCAGCCTTGATGTTAATTGCTAAAAAGATTTTGAGTATTATTTGTGATTGACTTTGTTGTATCTAATATTTATTATGGCCTTTTCAAAATACTTTCTTAATTGAGTATGTTGAGTAAGAATAAATCTATGAACATATAAAAAATAATTTTTACATATCAAATCAATTGAATTGAAGATATTATGTAATACGTGAAATAATTAATGATAATAATTAATGATAAATAATCGTAAATTAAAGGGATTATAAAACATTTAAAAAAAAAAAACTTAGGAGGCATGGTCCCTTATCTAACCATTACTTTGTTCAATTATGTGTATTTTGTATTTTTGTGTGTTTACTTTTTGTGTTCGACTGAAATTAAAGAATGATTTATCTCATCAACCAACCTTGACAAGATCAAAAAATAGAAGTGCTTAACCAGTAGACCACTATCTTGCCAACTCTCTTCTTACACGTGGAGAAAGTTGTGTTTGGTTTCATAAAAGTTCAGTGCACTCAATGGGAAAGGATAGATGTTCAATCCTCCAAAGCATCTTTTCCATTCCTTTCCTTTCCTCTATATATCAAACCTCAATCTCAAGCTCTCCTATTCCTCACAAAAACAACACATATCAGTCTCTCCAATACCACTCCTCTCTCTCTCTCTCTCTCTCTCATCCAAACCTATTGTGTACAACTCTCTCTCCACACTCTCACAAGAGTCATGGCTCTCAAACAAGCCATGCTCATGCTAACCATGTCTCTTGCTTTTGTGGTTTTGTCCATGGCTCAATCACCAGCCCCATCACCCACCACCATGGCAGCTCCACCACCTACCATGGTGACAACACCACCACCAATGGCTTCATCGCCAACACCAACAGCAACACCACCACCAATGGCTTCATCACCAACACCAACAACAACACCACCACCACCACCACCAATGGCTTCATCACCAACACCAACAACAACGATGGCTCCTACTCCAAGTGCCATATCATCCCCACCAATGATGTCTCCTCCGACGTCTTCTCCTCCAACCATGAGCCAGAGCCCTGGCCCCTCCACGAGCTTGAGCCCTGGACCCTCCATGAGCTCATCACCACCTGCACCGGCGGCTCCTGAATCACCACCCGCCTCACCGCCGTCCAATCCTTCGCCTAGTCCTTCTATTGCCCAAACACCGACCACCCCACCACCGGTCGCCTCCTCCGCTGGATCAGGAAGCCCCTCTTCAGGAGCTTTCATGCATGGATGTAGCATGGCCATGCTAGCCTTGTTTGGAGGGTTTGCACTCCTTGCTTAATCAACTTTTTCTTAATTTGGTGTAGATTAAGGTATTTATTTGTGTATTCTTTTTCTTTTCTGTTTTTTTTTTTCCTTTACCCTCTATGTTCAATTTTTTTTTTTTATAAAAATTTTCTGTTTTTATTTTGTTTTTGTAATTTTGTGTTGATTTTTTAAGCTGCATTTGCCATTTGTGAGGAGGGATGAGGATGGTTGGAGATTTATAGGATGTTACAGTTCTTTTGTAGCTTTTTGGATTAGTTGAATAAGAAAGTCTTTGTGATTCTTGTTGTTTTTTTTTTCTAGTGTTAATTTTCTGATTAAATTTAATTGCATTGCGACATAATTTAATGTATGAGCTTTTTGGCTGTTTCAACAAAACCAATTATTTGAATAAGTAGAAGGAAAAGAAAAGAAAAATTTGTTTAAGCAGGTTCAATTGTATTTTAAAAATAGAATTGGGAAATAAGTTATTGCTATTCTCAATTTTATAGTTCAATTATTTTTAGGCTGTATTTTGATCTTCGATTTGTGGATGGAAAAGAAAATAGAAGGAAAAAAAGGCTTATATTTCATTGAAAAATTCTCAATAAATGCTATTTTTTTTGATGAAATTTCTATTGAGTCCTTGTATGATTATGTTCAGAGGGTTGATCCTTGAGTTCATTGGACTCCATAAAAATTTGATGGGGTAAATAGAATCAATTAGAAAATTTCCCTATTTCCTTCATAAAATTCAAACACATCCTTATTGTCTTGTTGATTAGAAAAACCATGGGCTAAGCTTGTTTTCTATTGACTAAACTTACTCCAATTGCAGTTCAAAAAAAAAAAAAATTAATTGCAACTGTAACATGTTTTGTAAAGTAACCAGACCAGACTGATAAAAAGCCATTTTGAGAGCCCAACCAAAAAGACTCTCAAGAAAAAGTTAAGAAATACTTTCATGGGTAGTTGGCATTGGCATTGAGGTGTTAGATGGAAGAGTGATACATTTGGATGGCCATTGTAGGGTTGGGTGGGAATATGAGAGAGAGAGATGAAAAAGTTAGGTGCTAGCTGGTGGAGGTGAAAGTATGTGGAAAAAAGGAAATGTGGGTATGCTAGCTTTTGATAAATGAGCTGTATTCTTGGACTTTTGTGTGGATGAGAGAGAAAGAGAGAGAGTAAAGGAGAAAGGGCTTTTAGTGGTGGAAGCATGAGGGGGAGGGAATGCATGGTTGGTGGTGGTATTGGTGGGGCTTAAGTTGAGACAAAGGAACATGAGCATGATGGTGATGTGCACATGGTGGTGTGTTTAGCCCCCACATGAATGAGAGAGAGAGAGATTGGTTAATTCCAAAAAGAATAAAGAGTTTTCAAAAATTATTTCATTATGTACTAAAGTATGATGACTAATATGCCATTACATCATAAGACACACAATGGTCTATATCGCATTTTCAAGAGCTCCTTAAAATTCATCCTTTTTGATTCGACAATTACAGTGTATATATAGAGAAAAATGTTTGAGGGTCACAATTTTTGTAGTCACAATGGCTTAAAACTGTCAAAACGACGTCGTTTTGACATGTTTTGTACCAAAAACGACATCGTTTTGGTAGTTTTGAGCCATTGTGGCCACAAAAATTGTGGTCCTCTAGCATTGTTGATATATAAAACATAATGACTGTTTGGTTTGTTTTTCTGGAAAATTTTTGGAAAAAATTTTATTCAAATAAATTTTCAAGAGTAATCAAATCAAACAAATTTTTTCAAAAAAAATCTCAAAATTTTGTTTGGTTACCTACTTTTCAAAATCACACTCTCTCTCGTACACACTAAACAATCACTTTTTTAAAAACTCCTTCTCCCAAAATAATTTTTCAAAACCATTTCTGAAAAAAGACAAACTAAACAAATTTTCGTACTTTTTATCTCAAAAACTACTCTACAAACACAAACCAAATATATCCATGTTTTAGATACTCTCCTTAAAAAAAAGAAGCTATATTCCCTCAAAATTTTTAGTTTCAAATTTTAAAATGATTGAAATATTTACTCTCTATCATGAATGAGTATACCTCCGTAGTGATGATTTTGTTGTATAGAATGATCAATATACACATCAATAATGGTTGATAGTTTAAATTTTTATAACTCAAATGGTTCGAATGTTTCAAAACGACGTCATTTTGATACATTTAAACTATTCAGACTATACAAATTCAAGCCACCAATCATTTTTTTTTGGTTTGGGATGTCCTAAAAAAGTGCACTTTTTGACTTATTGGTGGGTTTAGGTTGGGTTTGGGTTAGGTTTGATGTGATGTGTTAGAGAGGTGATGTGATTTAAATAAGATGATGTGACTTAAATAAGATAGTGACTTTTTGACTTTTTGACTTATTTAGTACATGCCAAACTAAATACAATATACAATTCACCTAACTTGCTATATATTTACCGTCCTTTCACTGCACATGAATGGCTAGAAAGTCTCCTTTTAATATTGTAGGTTGGCAAGCCATGGTGGAAATTGCTTGAATTTATGACTATGGATGTATTATTCTTGCAATAGACCTAGGTTTCTATCTAACAATGCTACATATTTTATAATAAAAAAAATTAAAAATTACTGAGAAGCATTGGATAATATGACGCTAATTTTAAGTTTACATTATATAATTCACTAATAAAATAAATTTTAAATATAAATTTTGAGGACAGAACATTTTTATTTCTAATCATACCAAAATATGAAGGGTGGTGTCTTTTTCATGAAAAGCATTGGATTCCATTTAAAAAAGACCTAATTAATGAGAATCTTCAATCCTTTTTTTATTTTTGCTTTTTTCTCATCCAATACCTAGCAAAAGTTGTCTCTCTAACTTCTTCAATGAAATTTACCATCTAGTAAAGAGTGGTGAGTCGGCAATTTTATTTTTTTTTGTTAGAACAAATTTTGGTGGCTGAAGGACATAATGTAATTGGAAAATGCTATATATAGATAGTAATTTTTTTCTATACATCGATGTATCATGTAATAATAAAATTTTAGTATTTAAAATGAAATTCACTAAAATAGCATAAAAATTAGTTATATGAGTTTATGGGTTTTATTTGTTTTGTTCCATTGTATGACACTTTTTTTTTTGGTAATAAATATGGAAATTAGATTAATAATAGTTAAGCAGTTACATTTCTAGGGTAAAAGTACCCCTAGCGTCTTCAAAAGTTGAAGAGAAATACAGTTAGGAATAGAAAAAAAAATAAGTAGATCCTCATGATTGAATCCTTCGCCGGCAAGCAAGTCTGCTCATTTGTTTCATATGCGGTAGGTATAGCTAATAGTCGAGGTTTCGAGCTGGTCCAAGAGGTACCCGCAGTCATGAATGAGATCACTAAGTTTATGACAATGGTTGGAGTTACCAAGAATGAGATTTTGCACGATGGTTGCATCTGTTTCCACTTCTATTCCTGTGAGATTAAGGTCAAGAGCAAGTTTTAGACCATCTCGCATGGCCCAAAGTTCAGCTTCGATACTGGACGAGTGACCAATATTGCGGCAGAAACCAGAAATCCATTTACTCGTCCAGTCCCTAATGATACCACCAGCAGCGGCAAGTCTAGGGTTGTTTTTTGAGGCACCATCGGTATTGAGTTTGAAAATGCCAGGTTTGGAGGGGGAGCTAAGAGATAACGGATGGTGGAGAGAGGTGTGGTTGCCTGGATAGAGAGAGAGATGTTGCCATTCGATGGCAGATGCAATGGCCAAGGAGGGGTTGAGCAAGTGAGGGTTGAGGGTGGAGAGACACCAAGAATTGTGATTTTTCCAAATGAACCAGCAAGAGATGGGAAAAAGGACTGACCAATCTGCAGATGAGTGGTGGGTTAGGTTGGAGGTACAGTTGGATTTAATCCAGACAACAAGAGGGTAGACGAAAGAGAGAGTGGCATCGGCTGGGATTTGGAGAGCATCCCAGAAGTGTTTGGCAAATTTACAGTCCCTAAGGACGTGAGTGGTAGTTTTAGGATGGATAAGGTAGCGAGGGCAGATAGAGTCGCTGGTGATATGGCGAAGTAGGAGGGTGTCTTTGGTACTAAGGTGTTGGTGAAGAGTGAGCCAGAGGAAATGGTATATTCTAGGTGAAGTTCGACTCTTCCAGAGTCAAGTCCAGTTATCAAAGGGAGGGGATGAGGGAAAGGGTTTGGAGTGGAGATAAGCAGAGCTAGAGGTAAAGGACCCATTAGGGGAAAGATTCCATGTGAGGCAATCATCAGTGAGATTAAACCATTGGAGAGTGATGCAAGAGAGAAGGGTAGTGATACAAGTTGGGAGAGAGAATGAGAGGCTGTCTAGGTTCCAAGAGTTTTCTGCCCAATAATCTCTAACTAAAAGGTGTTGGTCAGAGAGGGTGAGGGGCCCTTCGATGAGGGATCTGAGTGGGCCAGGGCTTAACCAGTTGTCATACCAAAAGGAGGTATGGAGGCCATTTTGAACGAGGATTTTGGAGCCTAATTTGAAGAGTTCAGCCCATTTGTTAATTCCTTTCCAAGTGGGAGAGAGGATTGAGGACATAGATCGGGGCTTGGAGTTCAAAACTTTAGCCCAAAGTTTATGTTTTTCAAAGTGTAGTCTCCAATTGAGGCCATGTCGACTTTGTTTACTAGGCTAACTTGTCTAATACCTAACCCTCCAACTTTTTTAGGTCTTCTACGTTATCCTAACTGATGAAGTGGATTTTCTTGTTTTCAGAGGTGGTATCCCAAAGGAAGTCCCTATTGAGTTTGTCCATTGTATAACACTACTTCATTACATCTCTCTGACTCATGCACTGAACTATTATTGAAATATATAGAGAATGGATCTACTTGGATTTTTTTTTTGGTCTTAAACTACCTCTCTATTGTACGATCAGATCATGAAATTTCAAAATATAATTTTATAATTACGAATATTTAAAGACAAAAACTAAAGAGATTAAGAGTTAGAGAATATCGC